AATAACTGCTAGCTGTTCCACCATTGGAACATGCTGTAGGTTGAGCTCCCTCTCGATTGAGAGCTGGATGTTTGCTCCCTCAGCTACAGATTTACTGCTAGCCACTCCAGCATTATAGCCTTAGACATAGCGTTTAAACCCCGGTTCCGCCTTGGGCACCACTCCACCTATGTATCCTCTGGATAGCTACTTTAACAGGGTGTTGCTACTAGGGGTCTGTTGAGACAGTTCCTTCAGCACATACAAAGAGAAACGTGCGTTAGCCCCTGTGTGACAGGCCAAGACTAGTATGATTCTAGGCTTTTGGTCGTATTCCCTCTATTCCTGCTATTCCTGATTCCAAGCCTTGAGCTCTACCCCGGGCCCAGGAGTCTGGCCCTAACAGGTGGGGTATGTAGGTGGCCACGGGGCCCTAAGCAGCCCCTTAGTTCACTTATGCCTTGGGCCGGCTCTGGGCAAAAATCAAGCTTAAATGGATTAGACTCACTGTTAAAAAAAAAACCTTTTACAACTTAATGCTGCCTTGAAATTTAAGCTTAGTCAAATTGAAATATGAAGTTGGTGAAAACGTCTTAGGTTACTTATGTAACCATGGTTCCCTGAGTAGGGAACGAGACGCTGCGTCCTCTAGGTTTCTTGCCATGCTGCGGATGCAAGCTTCAGACGAAGAAGTGAATGATGTGTAGCTCCCGGCGCTTATTTATACTATAGTCGCACCGGTAGTGACGTCATGGCTGTCGCCGGCCAACGAGTTGGTGTTTTTTCAATGTATGCTTCAGACACGGGTCACGACGAGGCGTCCCCCATAGCGACCCCTAGAGGACGCAGTGTCTCGTTCCCTACTCAGGGAACCATGGTTACATAAGTAACCTGAGACGTTCTTCATTAGCATTGGTTCATGGAACCTTTCCGTTGTACAAAAGGTTCTTTATAGTGTAAAAAATATTATTTTATAGTTTTATAGTGGAAAAATGTTCTTCTTTTAAGAACTGTTCACTGAAAGGTTCTTTGGGGAACAAAAATGGTTCTTCTATGGCTTTTCTGTGAAAACAACCTTTTGGAAGCTTTATTTTTAAGAGTGTATTGTAAAGACGGTCATTTCTGAGCAATAACATGAGGAACCTGAAGAACAAGTGGAGCTAATGCATCTGGTCTGAAAAGAGACTGTAAGCCATCATCTTGTTAGTCACACTCAGCTGTAATACATGAAATTACCCAAACAGCATCGTTCAGAACATGCCTTCCTAAATTATCATTCATGAGTCAACAGATGTCACCAAACTGCCATAACAACACAAACACAACTTTACTCATACATAAATAATGACATCATCATGTTATCACCCATATAACATAGACCTGGCATGTGGTGGATGGTCGACCCATGGGAGCCCTCCAGGAGGGCTGCTGTAGGAAATGTACCATTTTGTGTGTGTGTGTGGAAGGCCAGACTAAAGTTGGTGATGAGACTGAACTATAATTACCCATTACTCATGTTTTAAATAAGCCCTTTGAAAGTGTTAAGAATAGATTTGAAATGGGAATATCTAGTAATGACTGGTTTCAATCTTGAAGTTTAGTCAGCTATGAGTGTGAGTGTGTGTGTGTGTGTGTGTGTGTGTGTGTGTGTGTGTGTGCG